CCAAGAACTCAAAAAAAAACTTCTACAAAGCGCAGGTCTTCTATTCAGAGACTGGAACTGAGTTGAACAGACTTTTCAAATCAAAACAGTTAGAATTTCGTCCTCTTTTGGTGTCCATAACTCTCCTAATCTTCACATTTTGACTAAACCTCCTCATCAATGCGGGAGCGCTAGTCGAAACGGGTCTCATTTCCCTCCAGCTCCGCTCCCGTTCGAAAAATGCAGAGCGAAGAAAGTGCTACAGCTGCGGACAGGGAACAGCATCGTTGTGTGAAACACATAGGGAGGTCGTACTTTTCGGCTGGGGAGAGGGGTCGTATTTGGTCGTTGTTGGGAGAGGGGGAGGTCGTATGTGGCTTTGAGATAAATTTGCCGCGCTGGGCAAAATTTCCCGGTTGTTGAGTTTTTTTTTGATAGCTCCCGTTCCATGTGTACTATCCACCCCCCCCCCCTCCCCGCTCGACAGCAAAATTTTTGGGTAAAAGTAGAGAAAAAGTCGTAGGAAGTTGGAGAAATCCAGGAAGTTTTCCCGACGGGAAATCTCTGGGTGAAAAACTGGAAAATGTAGGAAATTGGTAGGTAGGTGCTATAGAGGGGGGGGTCATACCGGGACCTTCCCTTAGGTGAAGGTCAGGGGGCGTACCAAGACCCTCCCTTGAGAGCGGGGGTCGTACTAGCACCACCATTTCACACATCACGATGCTGAACCCTGGATGCGGACCCTTTCTCCCCACATACGGCAAGGTAGAGGAGCACGGCAGTGAGAGCACAGTTTGTCTCAAGAGTAAAATAGAACATTAGTCAGCACTGACCTTCGTTCGGCACGGTTATATAAAAAGTTGGCAGGTTTGATGTCCCGATGAATCACCCTGTATCGATGTATATGATGCAGAGCTATGAAAAGATTCCGCATGTATTCAAGGGCTTCGTCGAGAGGAATTTTATGAATAAGGCTCTGAAAGCAGGACAAACGAAATTACTCTCAAAAAATCTAAAGTGCATAACTAAGACAAACTTACAAAAATATCATCATGGGGGAAATAATTCATCACTACAAATACCCGATCTAGTTCTCGATATGCGGCTATGAACTCAACAACATTTGGCCCGCCTGATATCGTCCGCATGACCTCAAACAAATCGTTTACTTCTTCAGAAGCTTAATATAAAACGCTACACAGCTCACGATCAGCTCAATGGAAAATAAGAGCGCGTTCATTTTTCGCGATGGAAACCCTTGAGCGACCCCATCGCGCGATGCAAGCGACTGAATGGCGAACTATGAACGCGCTCTAACATGATAAAAGAGTCAATAAAAACTTCGATGAAACTGCAACGCTACTCTTGCGGCTGTTATGGCCCGTTTCACATTTGAGTACTGCTGGATAATCATAGGCTAGCCGTCCTTACACTGGAGGTAGGGTAATATGGCGGAGCAACTTGTGCAATGGTTCGCGGAGTTACAGTTTTGCGAGCTTGCGGATTTGAAAGGGTGTAATCTCACGCCAATGCTGGTCGGCATTTAGTGATGGAAGGTGGGAAGAAACGAGCCGAGATGTTGGCCAGTTTTGGTTGAGCCTAGGGGCAAAGAGCCGCGGTGGGTGAAGCACTCTGAGCCATTTATACATTGCTACTCAGGTGAATACGAGAACAGAAGATTCGACGGAGAATGGAGACTATAGGTACCGATCTGGCGTTCCAGAGAAACAAGGTCAGCAATCGATTCCCGACGACTTCCTTGGCGCGCATACCAAAAAAAATTTACCCGATTCTTCCATTGTCCCAAAGTGCCACATCGATACCTGTTTTCCCCTTCCGTGCACGTCCTGCTGTTGGCAAAACCTTTACAAAAAAATCACCCACCCTTCGAAAGTACCATTTTTGATGCGGCCTTCTTCCCCATCCCCCATCCTACCTAGCATTTTCCTGAATTTGCCCAACTCCTACCACTGTAGGAACTGTGGAAACTCACCTTCAGTTCCATGGCTATGTGTTTAGGATTGAATCCAGGAGCAGGAACCTTCAATGCGTATAATTGTGCTGGCTTTTTACGACATTCAACAGTCCAGACTTTCCCGAACGAACCTATACGATATTCAGATTTTACAGAAAAACAACATATATTGAAGGCAGGAATCACTGGCACTATTCAACTATTATTACCCTCAAAAATCTTCGAAGTCACGCCAGTTTTTCACCAAATTTTTCTGCGAGGGCAGATTGCTGAAAATGTTTTCGTGGGTAGTTTGACTTCCTGAACATGGATATCACATCCGCTCGCCCTGAAACTGCTTGGCGCTGGCGCTGGTATACCGTAGATCAACAACTTCGCTGAAAACTTGTCCTAAGAGGTGGTTTGACCTTCTGAACATGAACATCACATCTACATGGAGTGCAAGATGAGTATAGAGGAAAAAAGGTGCGCGCGACAGCGCATCCTCAAGAGAAGGCTCGCTGTCGTAGGCAACCAGAAAGGGTACTGTCTAGTCCGACCGTCTTTCTCTTACTGCCCCAGCATACGGTTTGGCACGAAGTAGTCAGGACTCTACGCTATACACGCCGTGGTCAAAATAAGCACGAGGTACTGTCGCCTGTAGCGAGGGCGGTTAGCGACTTCGTGTCAAGCGAATGTCACATTCGTGATCAGAGCCCCGAATAACCCCAATGTGCAAGACTACACCGATTTCGAGAGAAAAGCAGCAGCACCAAATGGGACCAAATGGAGCCATCGCTGAAAACTGCTGATTAGAAAACAAATAGCTATGTTCGTGACCGAGGCTCCGGTTACCGTCATAGGCGAAGTTTCAGCGGAAAAAAATCGAGCTTTTGGGTAGTAATAGTTAAATAGTAACGGAAAATTTCACAATAATAACAACCATCGTGAAATTTGTCTCACCTGCTCCTAAAGGGTCACCTACAACGAAGTTATTCGTGATCCATTTCGAGCGGTACACAATGTCAAGTCGCTTTTTCCCGTTTAATGAACGTTGAGCGGTTAATAACCGGCGATTCCCGATCATATCAGTCGTATCCGTTCTAATTCGTATAATTTACATAGATTTCCTGAAAGGAATCGTAATAATTCAAGAAATTTGTGTTCGCATGTTCATGCTGGAATTTGAGCTTTGTATTATCGTTTTCCTTATTATTTGAATATTTGTGACGACTTAGTGTATTTGAACTCCATTCGAATACACTAAGTCTTTCGGTTCACGGAAACAAATATACAAATGCTTAGGCAATACAGAAAAGAAAGGCATATCTGACCAGAACAAAATACT